TCAAATATCTGAAGTGTTCCGATTAATAAGCGTTATAACAATCACAGTTATAGATTCCGAAGTTTATAGCACACCAACTATAGGAAACCAGTAATAGATACTGATTTTTGGCGCGTCGCGTTGGTTACATTTATAGGCGTGTGGAGAATTTCTCGAAAATTCAGATTACGTAACAATACAAAGATACGCTAGCGTTTACGTACACACATATATAGTTTATTCTTATACTCAAGAATCTCCTACAACTTTAGAGAATAGGCGGGAATAGGCGCAATACATATTTAACACTATAACCTATGCATATTTATAAATATAAACTTAATCTAAACGAACGTTGATATTAAAATAGATATATAATAATAAATCCGTCACAATGAACCATTTACTAAATTTCGTCGTTAAAAGTTCTAACGAGCACTGAAAACAGAAACATGGGTACAGTTTTTATTTTGCAATAACTTTAGATTTTATGTTCATAAATAAACTGTATTCTTGTAAGCTTTTTATCTCGGTTATTTTTTTTATTATTTCGTTACTTTTGCTACTATTCATGATTTAAAATCTTTTGAAGTGTAACAGTTTTATTTTCAGGTTTTCTACTAAATCAAACAATGGATTTTTTCATACTGAATTACGTTTCTTTTTGTTTCTTCAAAGATTTTTTGACAAACTTGTTTTAAATGTCACTTAACTTGCATTATATCATGTACCAACCTCTAAAACTGTACCCTATATAATAACAATCTGAGGTACTCGTCCTTTGTCCTGGTTATGAACTTTAAAAAATGTGGGAGTGGATGCTATAATAAATAACCCAAAAATCCAAACTTTGACGCAATTTATTTATAACATAACATAATATTACAATAATCATAATTTCCTTGCCAAAGGTTTTGTAAAAGGCTTTAGAACTCAATATGTATATACAGTACTGTGCAAAAGTGTTAGGATAAGAGAATATTTTGTTATTCTTTCCATTTTATGGGGATAATTTTTCCATGCCTTTATGTAATTTCAACACTACGGTAATGCTTCACTAATCTCTGCTGACAATTGAATGAACCAGGATGAGAATACTTATCATTATTTAGAATTCCCATATACTTGTACCAAGGGAATGTCATAAGGGTTCTGCTTTCTTCTTCTTCTGTGGCTTTTCCCGTATCTATACGGGGTCGCTATTTTTGACAGCATAACTGTCATTTTTTGGTTTTGGCGCCATCCATCCCCATTTATCCGGGCTTTGGACCGGCACCGAGTTGTGCTGGCTTGCACCCCCAGTGGCTGGGTTCATAAAGGTTATGCTTTACTGATCAAATTTAGAGTCTGAAATAGATGTCACGGTACTCCACAAGTGTCTTAATTATGTAGAAAGAAGCTAACAAGGAGCCAGCATATTGTACCAGTATATGCTAGAAGAAATCATTTTAATAGCACTCCACAAATAAACCTTGATAAAAAAAACAGTGTTTAACACTATATATATTAAGTTTCTTGTCATGCCACGACCCAAAAATCGTAGAGCATAGAGTTCGCATAAAAGCTTTACGTGATGCCGGTTGGACTCTCCGACAAATTGCTACAGACTTGAAATGCTCCCCAAATACTGTCAAGTATACCCTATATCGTGAGACCGAGACAAGTAACTTTGAAAATAGGAAAAGAAGAGGCAGAACATCTAAACTCGGTGATACTGATGTTAAGAATCTTCGTTTATGTAGCCTTCGGGACAGAAGGAAGACTGCCACTGATCTCAAGCATGAGATAAACGATCATGTACCAAAGGACAGAAAAGTGTCCAGATCTACAGTATCAAGAAGACAACGAGAATGGAATAGTTGGTCGTGCAGCAGTTAAAAAACCTTTACTCCGATCTCCAAGTATTGTCAAGAGACTGAAAGTTGCTAAAAAATACAAAAACTGGATTGTTGGTTATTGGAAAAGGGTGTTATGAACGGATGAGTCCAAGTTTAAAATATTTGGTTCAAAGCGTTGATTGTACGTCCAGCGGGAGAAAAATGAAAGATACTTACCTCAATGCATAGCATCTACCATGAGCATGGAGGAGGCAGTGTGATGGTTTGGGGATGCTGAGGCGACAGGAGATATTTGCAAAATAGATGGAATAATGGACCAGCACAAGTACCGTCATGGAATACCAAGTGGTTTGCGTATGATTGGTAAAGTATTCTACTACCAATAGAATAATGACCCCAAACACTCATCCAACCTATACAGAATTTAATAAGCTAAGAAAGAAGCTGCTAGAGTCATTCAAATGATGCAATGGCCTCCACAAAACCCCGATCTGAATCCCGTTGAGCAGATCTGGGATTTGATAGATCAAAACTTGACAAATCAAAAGTTACTTCCAAGGAGACTTTATGGGAGTGTATTAGAGACATTTGATGTAAAATCCCAAAGAACACTTTGATTAAATAGGTTACAACAATGCTTGAAAGACTGTCTGCAGTTATTAAAGCAAAAAAGGGACACACAAAATATTAACTGTTTGCTGAACCCAAGCTTCCACTGAGTTTCTATTGTACTAAATATGAAGATTAATATAATTTTGATGTTCCACCTGTGAT